ATATACAGTGTTATTAAAAGTTTTTATAGTTTTTCTCAAACTTTTTGAATGTTTAATGTAGATGAGAGCTGCTTGAGCAACGGATTTCTTGATACTGCGATTGATTGATTACCAAAAACAAAATGGTAATCAATGGAAGCCCAAAATGCATATATGTCCCAAGTCCTCACTATATATATTATTACAAAACGTGAAATATACAGTGTTATTAAAGTTTATAGTTTTCCTCAAACTTTTTGAATGTTTAATGTAGATGAGAGCTGCTAGAGCAACGGATTTCTTGATACTGCGATTGATTGGGTACCGACAATGGAAGGGATTCGATTAAAAGACCTTCCCATGTTCATTAGATCGACTAATCGCGAAGATACAATGTTCCACCATAACTTAGATTCAGTGAATAATTCTCAACACATTCGATGATTTGGAGCAAGAAGTGTAGACGCCCTGAGAAGCAAGTGTTCAGAACTCTACAAAATAGGCCCTCTATCAATGCTTCATCGACGACTTTGTGAAGCAAAGCAAGAGTCTTCTATCGAACTGAATCTGTGGAAAAAAGATGTTGGATGCTTAGATTGGTTAGACAAAAGAGAGGCCAAATCAGTTGTGTATGTGAACTATGGAAGCCTAATTATAATGACCCCTGAACAGCTGAATGAGTTTACTTGGGGACTTGCTAATAGCAAGTGCTCATTCTTGTGGGTTATTAGGCCTAACCTTGTGAAGGATTGGTGTTGAATTGGTGTCCACAAAAGAGAGTTCTCAGCCATCCTTTTGTTGGATGTTTTTTGACGCACTCTGGGTGGAATTCTACGTTGGAAAACATTTGTGAAGGCGTGCCTATGATCTGTTGGCCATTTTTCGCAAAGCAACAAACAAATTGCTTCTATTTGTGCAATAAGTGGGGGATCGGCATGGAGATTGACACCGATGTTAAGAGAGAGAAAATAGAGGGGCTTGTTAGGGATTTAATGGAAGGAGAGAAGGGAAAGAAGATGAGGGAACGAGGCATGGAATGGAAGAAGAAAGCGGAGAAAGCTACTAGGCTTGGTGGGTCATCTTACATCAGCTTTGATACGCTAGTCAAGCACCTCAAAAGGTGAGAATCCTCGGCGGTGTGTTGATGCTGCTCATACGCGCAAGTGTTGAAATTCGTCCGATGCAGTACGGCACCACCGTTGATTATCACAGCTCAACGCTCAACGCTCAACGGTGAGACGTGTCATGGGTGTTTGTGTAGGTACAAGTTTTTAAGTAGAAACTTTGCAAGGGCAAAAGCAACCCACTCATTTTTACTGTTTTCTTAGGTTTATTATGTGTATCCATCCTTGTGGGTAAACAAGGGTTGTGGAAGTACTAGGTATATAGTAATAACTTTTTTTTTTGGAATTTAAGTGTATAGTAGCAACTTGAATGAATAAGAAGAACTACTCTTTAATGTTCTTTAATGTTTTCTCATGTTTGGTATGTCTACCCATCTGACAATAGACACCATCTTTAATCTACTATTTTTTTTTTTTATAAGCGCAACTAAACTTGGAAAACATACCCTCGAAACCTATCTGAAATTACTTGGTAGGGTAGATATCATCACACAAGAAATGGAGTCCCATCATTCGCTATATCTCCAGATTCTCCACCCTCCCTCTCTGGACAAAACTCAAATTCAATTAAGAGATACACCTCTACCCTCCCCTACCGTCCAAATCGTACGACGAAATCAAGACAAAAAGACAGAGAGATTGAGAGAGAGAGAGCACAGTTACAAAAAGACAGAGTGATAGATGTGGAAAAAAAAACAAAATGTGCCGGTGATCAATAGGGAGGTTTATGTACACGCGCGTGTATGTGATCATAGTTTGTCCATCGACTAAGATCTAACTCCATGCATGAAGACACAATACAACAACTTAAAGGATTCTGGCATAGTCAGAAATGTTCCTCATGTTTTATGCAAGCAAAATGTCCAGGGACCACACTCTTAAATTTCGAATACAAAAATATAAAATGTAAAATAAGAAGATTAAAAAGAAAAAAATAGAGAACACAACATATACATGGTTCGGCATTAAGGCCTATATTTATGAATCTAGAGTCATTAAGGCTACATTTCTCTTATTGCTTGTAGTACTTGATATGTTTACATTGTATTAATAATATATAGGAATAAAGTTACAGATAAAGGGAATAAATCAAGGAGTAAATTACAAACAGTGTTTTAATGAGTAAAGATTGAATCTTTGAATGAAAATACCTCAATCAAGAAAGAGGAAAGAAAGGAAGAGAAATAAATTAAGGAGTAAATCAAGGAAGGAAAAAAGGGGGAAAAGAAATATAATATAATACATATATATAAGGATAATGCTTAGCTACTCACCAGTGAGTAGGGTAAAGTTACTCACCTCTATGTGATCCAATAACAAAATAACACATCACATTTAATAATAAAATAATCCACACCTAAAAACACTATATATATTTATTCGATGGTTGATTTGAGAAAGCAGAGAAAGGTGTGGATTATTTTATTATTAAAGGTAATGTATTATTTTGTTATTGGACCATATAGGAGTGAGTAGCTTCACTCTACTCACCGGTGAGTAACTAAGCATTGTCCTATGTATAATATATATTTCAATATTTCCCTGCAAACTCAAGATGGGTTTCTCGAAGCTAACTTAAGTTTAGAAATGAAATCTTGAAAACGGTGGTGGAGCGAAAAGCATCCGAAAGGCCGGAACAAAGCAGAGAAATAGTCGGAACAAAGCCGATAAATGGATCGGAACAAAGTCGAGAAATGGGTCGGAACAAAGCCGAGAAATGACGCCGAGAAATGGACCGGAACAACACCGGGAGACATCGGGGTGATCCATCCGAGAAAAAAAGATCCGGAACAAAGCTAGTAAAAGGCCGGAACTAAGCCAGTAAATGGCCTTTCTTTTTTTTTTTCTTTTCCCCAACAAATCATAAACTCAAAAAGAAACCAAAAACAAACCTAGTAAAATAAGGCAAACACTGCCCCAAAATTATACAGGTGGTGAAAACCAATCAAGGAAAGAGAAAATAGTTGATGTGGTGGAAGAAAGAGGTCGTCAGCATGAGAGGTAAGTAAAGCAAAGTAAGCCTCTACAACCAAAGGCGAATTCGAAGATGACGCCGAATATTCACCAAACTGAGCATAGTAACGACGACGGCGAAGCGAGTAAAAACGTGGAAAGTGGTAACGAAGGACTCGGCCGGTGATAACACATCTCGCAATGGCTAGAACACAAACAACCTCTCTCTGACCAGGAACTGAAACAATGGTGAGTCGGTCACTACCTCCTAGTCTTTGTCTCTCGACTCTCTTCCTCAATTCCTCATCTCCAAAGAACTGATCTGAGTAAACCCTTTCACAATCTTTACATGCAACACATATACATATATGCACATGATGCTTACCTTGAGTTATCTTATACTTTCTGGATGTTACTAAACCATTTAATTGAAGTCCAAAAAGCTGGGTTTAGGCTGCCCACTCTGAGTTTGGTTGTTAGTGGTTAACTGAGACATATGATGCTGTTGTTGCTGTTGAGTTTGGTTGGTGCCGAAGTGATGAAATGCCTACGATGGGGTGAAAATTGGGGAAGCAAACCTCTGCTGAAAGGATTTCCATTAGCAGCTGGGAGTTCCCCAGTTGTTATCTTAAACCGCTACACTACAATATAATCATATTGGACTGTTTGAAAAAGCCTAATCCGTGGAAATCGAACTGAACTAATTCATTATTTCACGGATCGGTTTGGTTCGGATTGAGAATCCCCACGGATTGGTTCGGTTTCAGATTTAGCCAATCCATAAGGATCGAATTGATTTGAATTTTACCCAAAATCGAACCAAATTGATATGTGATCAGTCGACTTTATTATATGTTACCATATGACGTTAACTAATACTTTCTTCTTGTCGACTTTTTATTGTAATATATATTGATTTTTATTGGGGTGCAACTTAGCATGACCCAGTCAAGGTTGAAGTGGGCCGACTTCCCTGTAGTGGGCCTAGGCCCTTTTCCTGGGAACCAAAAATGTTACCATCTAACACCGAATTATATTCAACATTCGAATAATTAAGCAGTCCAGCATCTTCTTTTTTATTATTTATACACATATATGTATATAGTATATACACAAACACACATCTTGCTTTGTGCACTCCGCTGTAGATTTTATTAATTAATGTTATATAACTTATTTGGGATGTATCTGGTCAAGATAAATGGTTCTATCATGATTATTAAACTAATTGGTTTTTGTATATGTGTGTGTGTGTGTGTGTGTGTGTGTGTGATTTTGTCATTCTTTGGCATTGACATATTATTTAAGTTGGCAAATTTGAAATGCTTGGGTTTTTCAAAAGAATTGATGGTTTGATACTGACATTGAGGATTAATGAATTAGAGTGGAGAACAGATACACTCGACGACACCGACTAGTCAATTGTCTCAATACCGAACTCTTTGAGTTTTTTAATTTTTCTTTGAAGAGAGCTGTCCACCCGAGGGTTATTTTCTTTAAGATTAATAAAGATGCAACATGGAGTAAAAAAACTTCATCAAAGCAGAGGAGGTATTATAATTATAGAGCTGCTTGTTTTTTTCACCCTAGCAGATAAAACTTAGGAAATCAGCTAAATATATTATGAATTTGACTTACTATTGCCAAGTTGTTTTTTAATATGATACCGTTGATACATAAGGTGTTGTGACAGCAATTTTATATTTATTTTATGTGGTACAAGATGTTATAAAAAAAAGAAGACACCGATCTTAACAAAAACAATATTGCGGATGTTTGTATGCGAACTTTCAAGAGGATAAACAAAAAAAAAACATAGATAAGTGTGTTGATGTCATAATGACAATGGGGTGGGCTTTCTTTGTCTCCATTGGCTAGTGTGGATAAAATCAAAGAAACATGGAAAAAATGCTTCGCGCGCGCGCGCACACACACACACACACGCACACACATACATATACATCTCTCCTTCATTTTCATCTGCATAGTCACCATGGACTCTGTGAAGAAGCCTCATGCTCTCTGTATTCCACTTCCTGCCCAAGGCCACATTAACCCAATGCTAAAACTAGCAAAACTCCTCCACTCCAGTGGCTTCCACATCACCTTCGTGCTCACAGACTTCAACTACAATCTGTTTGTGAAGTCCAGAGGTCCAAATTATCTGGAGGGCCTGAGCGATTTTCGGTTTGAGACCATACCGGATGGTTTGCCATCGACTAACCAACGAGGCATACTCGACCTCCCGGCCCTGTGCGCGTCAATGACAATCCACTGCTCACGGCCATTCAGAAACCTCATAGAAAAGCTCAATGCTTCGCCAAATGTGCCTCCTGTCACTTGCGTAGTCTCAGACGGTGTCATGAACTTCACCTTAAAGGTAGCAGAAGAGCTCGGCATCCCGGAGGTGCTCTTTTTCACTCCTAGTGCTTGTGGTATGTTGGGCTATTATCAATTTCAGGAGCTGATTGAAAGAGGCTATTTCCCACTAAAAGGTAAATGTCTGTATAGTAAATTTTGTTGAAAATTCATACAAAAGCACAAGACACACAAAACTAGTCACTAAAAATTCCTAGTGAGAGAGTTTATAGAGAGAGAATATGAAAGCATGGTGAAGATGATGTTTGAGTGCATAGTCCATTCTACTGCTACTATGCATAAAATTTCTGATGAGACCTTTCTCATCAAAGAATCCATCAAATCATAGTTGGCCCCTACCAAGTGTATTCTTATTCCATCCAATCAATTAGTCACTAGAGAGTTTATAGAGGGAGAAAATGAAAAGCACTTATATCCACCATAAGTCCATAACACGCATGCGCGCGCACACAAATTTTTGCACTCGTAGAATGCAGTGTGGTGGTATCCAAGTGGATCTCACCACAGTGCATCTTACGGAGGCAAAAAAACTGAAGTTTTCTGTCTGAATATCATTTTTCATTTCATAACATGGTGTATTCCTTCAGAAACATCCAATCATTAATCTAGATTTTTATTTTTTATTTTAAAACAAAATGGTAATCAATGGAAGCCTAAAATGCATATATGTTCTAAGTCCTCACTATATATATTACAAAACATGCATATACAGTGTTATCAAAGTTTATAGTTTTTCTCAAACTTTTTGAATGTTGAATGTAGATGAGAGCTGCTTGAGCAACGGATTTCTTCATACTGCGATTGACTGGGTACCGGCAATGAAAGGGGTTCGATTAAAAGACCTTCCCACGTTCATTAGAACGACTAATCGCGAAGATACAATGTTCAACTACAACTTAGAATCAGTCAATAATGCTTTGAAAGCTAAGAGTGTAATTCTCAACACATTCGACGATTTGGAGCAAGAAGTATTAGACGCCATGAGAAGCAAGTTTTCAGAACTCTACACGATAGGCCCTCTATCAATGCTTCATCAACGACTTTGTGAAGCAAAGCAAGAGTGTATCGAACTGAATCTGTGGAAAGAAGACGTTGAATGCTTAGATTGGTTAGACAAAAGAGAGGCCAAATCAGTTGTGTATGTGAACTATGGAAGCCTAATTATAATGACCCCTGAACAGCTGAATGAGTTTGCTTGGGGACTTGCTAATAGCAAGTGCTCATTCTTGTGGGTCATTAGGCCTAACCTTGTGAAGGGTGCTACAGAGGTCGTATCGGACGACTTTATGGAGGAGATTGAAGGCAGAGGATTGGTGCTGGATTGGTGTCCACAAGAGAAAGTTCTTAGCCATCCTTCTGTTGGATGCTTTTTGACGCATTGTGGGTGGAATTCTACGTTGGAAAGCATTTGTGAAGGCGTGCCTATGATCTGTTGGCCATTTTTCGCAGAGCAACAAACAAATTGCTTCTATTTGTGCAATAAGTGGCGGATTGGCATGGAGATTGACACCGATGTTAAGAGAGAGAAAGTAGAGGGGCTTGTTAGGGATTTGATGGAAGGAGAGAAGGGAAAGGAGATGAGGGTACAAGGCATGGAATGGAAGACAAAAGCGGAGAAAGCTACAAGGCCTGGTGGGTCGTCTTACATCAACTTTGATACGCTAGTCAACCACCTCAAAAGGTGAGAATTCGAATTGGAATCCTCGGCAATGTGGCAATGTGTTGATGCGACTCACACGTGGAAGTGCTGGAATCCGTCCGATGTAGTATAACACCACCGTAGAGCAATCCGTCCGATGTAGTATAGCACCACCGTAGAGCATCATAGCTCAACACTGAGACATGTCATAGGTGCTTGTGTACATACAAGTTTTTAAGTAGAAACTTTGCAAGGGCAAAAGGAACCCACTCATTTTTACTGTTTTCTAATGTTTATTATGTGCATCCATCCTTGTGGGCAAACAAAAGTGGGACAAGTAAAATGGGTTTGTGGGAGTACTAGGTTTTTAGTAGCAACTTGTCTGAATAAGAAGAACCACTCTCTCTAATGTTTTCTCATGTTTGGTATGTCTACCCATCCGACAATAGACACCATCTTTGTCGGTAAATATGTTTTCCAAGTTTAGCTGCGCTAAAAAAAAAAAAAGGGTACAGGTTATCAATACTTGTACAAGATTCATATGAGTATAGTGGTTATACCCTCTAAACCTATCTGAAATTACTTGGTAGGGTAGATATCATCACACAAGAAATGGAGTCCCCTCATTCTCTGTATCTCCACCCTCTCCCACCCTCCCTCTATGGACAAAACTCAAATTCAATTAAGAGATAGATCTCCACCCTCCCCTACAGTCCAAAGCATACTACGAAATCCGAATTCAATTGAGAGAGACATTTCCACCCTCCCCCTAGGTCGAGAACACAAGACAAAATCCAAATTCAATTGAGAGTGAGAGAGAGTGACTAGATCACCACCCTCCCCTACCGTCCAAAGCATACGACGAAATCCGAATTCAATTGAGAGAGAGAAAGAGACATTTCCACCCTCCCCCTAGGTCAAGAACACAAGACAAAATCCAAATTCAATTGAGAGAGAGAGAGAGAGAGAGAGAGTACAGTTATAAAAAGACAGAGTGACAGATGGGGAAAAAAAGTGTCCGTGATCGATAGGGAGGTTTATATACATGTGCGTGTATGTGATCATAGTTTGTCCATCAACTAAGATCCGACTCCATGCATGTAGACAATACAGCTACTAAAAGGGTTCTGGCATAGTAAAAAACGTTCCTCATGTTTTATGCAAGCAAAATGTACGAGGACCAAACAAACCGACTCAACAATCTGCATGACGTACAAACATGTGGACAACAACATATTTATGATCCCATATCCTGAAACTATGTGCATAAATGGATGAATTGTCACATTTTTACATAACAATCGCAATATATTTTGGGGAAAAAAAATGCACTGTAAAAGATTCAACCCACTCAACAGCAACAGCGACAAGATAAAGCATCCAAACATGTGTAGGGTTTTGACTTTTCTTCAAGTTCCTGTGCTGTTGGCAGTGGTTCCATACTATATATGCTGCGTTGAGCACAACAGAAGTCGTACAAATTTCTGCATGCCCCTTTACTAAATGGAGACACACTTTCAGGAATCCCCCTGTAGATCAATTCACAGTGTCAACTGAAACTGGCAAAGAAACCAATGGATAATAGTCTATTTTGTGTGTGTGTGTTTTTTTTTTTTTTTTCACTTCACCACCATATCCAAGCACATCTTGGTAGTATCAAGTCAGTTTAGAAGAGGTTGGTTTGAACAAGTTTTCCTTCCATATCATGCGGCCATGGAAGCATATACAGTTCATTGGTTATTAGGGTTGTAAAACATTAGGGTTGTAAAACAAACCAAGCTACTTATTTAGTGATTGCCACAGATGTAGGCTAGCTCAAAATAATTTTTTAGATGAAAAACCCAAGCTCAATCATGTTTTGTAATTCAACCGTTTATTGAGCCTGTGCCTCAAGTTGAACTTGATAAGCTCACAAGCAACCTAGGACAACATATACAACCAAGCTACTTAAATAAATATCAAGCTCATGTACTTCACTCGAAATCAACTCCTCAAAGAAGCTCCTTAAGTTTTCAGGTTGAGCTTGAGCATCCATAGCTCCAATGGGTGTGCCTCTTCTTTTTACACACATATTTGTTCTTTTTCTATGTCCTTTTTTTTTCCTCCCTAAATCAACTTATTGTTGCTTACAAGACCATCTATTCAATTAATGAAGAAACATGCTCCACTAGTATCATCATTTTTTTTCTATGAGGCTTCGTGAGAGAAATATATAATACATCCATCATGCACTGATTAGCAATGTAAGTCAAGAAAAGATAACTTAGATTTGAAAGCTTTGAACAAATCAACTGACCTCAAATAAGGGATCCGACGTCGTCTTACAAGTTCATAGGTAGTTTGATTTGTCAGAACAAGAAAGCTGTACAAAAAATGACACGATCTGTAAACAGAATGCTATCTAGGATGTTTGAATTGCTTGACAAAGGATTAACAATGTTCCATAGAAAACAAGGGTGCCCGCAAGCCCCCTCACAACTAACACTTGAAGGTGCTGACCTAGGAGAAGGAATAAAAACACACATGCCGAACAGTGCATAAACAGAAACTTAAAATGTGACTCAATTAGATAAACCACTATGGCAATAAAAGTCCTCATCAAAGCACACAACTGAATCATATACTTCCCATTCACAATATGCAGGTAATAGCCACCTTTTTCCATCTAGCATTCACATATGTATATTGATTGATTCATTTAAATAGATCCAAAATCTGAAACTTTGACAAATGCCCATAACTTAAGTCTTTCTAGCAAGGTTACTGTGAGAAAATATCACATGGAATTTATGGAATAGAAATGTTATTCTCCTTGCTTAACTTTTCTTCTTATTTGTTTTTTCCAATTACCCATTAGTCCTCACTGGTCTTTAGGGGCATTCCTTACAAAGTTATACCTTAAACAACATGGTAACAAAGACAAATATCAAACTGGGCTTTAATATCTTTCAATTGAGATGAAGAACAAACTTGCTTTATGATCAGCCAGTTCAAGGTCGTCTAGTGTTAGGTGATGGACCTTGGAACCAATAGTGCTTCATCTACCAATTCTTTTAGAGATCTTATCACATCATCACATAAATAAGCTGAAGTAAAGTAGACTTAGAGAATCAAGTATTAGGTAAATAAGATCAGTTGGACACTTGGACCTATAATTACCCATATGATCTCAGCTATGAATTGAATAAACTAAATAAGCTTGGGATAGAAACAGTAGCTACTCAACAGACTAAATGAAGGGACAATTCACTCAGAAACCATAATTTGAAACCAGTAGTTGCTCAATCAATCAAGCATACGCCCGACCAATCGAGCTCTCAACAGAATGTTGCGGATCAATCGAACTAATATCATGGACTGATTAACACAAGATTATGGACCAATAGAACCAAGGTCATGAACCAAATGGAGCTCTTTAGGAATGAATATTTGAGGAGCTTTAGTATTCCAAAACAAAGTATTTTGCTATTACGCTTGTTTAGAAACTTCTAAATCCATTACTAAATAGTCTAGGACTTGGAAAAGAGACACAACACCAAAGAGCTCAGTGTGTGTGTCAAAAAGAAACAAGAACAATGCACTAGAAATGAGGAGGCTACGATTGATGATAGGAGTGCCTAAAGAAATAAGATCAGTAATGAACGAGGAAGGGCAAACCTAGGAATAACGATTATTGATGATAAAATTAGAGAAAGTAGACTTAGGTGGTATGGTCATATACAACGTAGAACCGAAGATGCGCCAGTTAGGGAGAGTCGCATAGAAGGTAAGTGACAAAGAGGCCAACCAAAACTTCCATGGAATGAAGTAATTAAAAATGATTTAAAAATTAAATAATAGAGGAGACATGGTGTATAATACCAAAGAAGGAAAAAAGAGAATTGGATGTTAATGATGATAATTTCAAGGCCACAATGAATCTCTGATAAAGGTTGTTTTCTACAAATGAATCATATAAAAAGTCAAAATATCTCAATGAACACAATAAACTTTGTGGCTACACAAACGGTTGATGTATCTCTGGATCTGGTCCAAGATGAACTATTTATAGACCAAAAATTTTAATGTGTAAGACTATTTAACTGAAACATTGAAGGTACGGAGTAACATTAAACAACAAATAATTAAGAGTAATGAACTTCATTTTCCAATGCCATGACAATGAATATCAATTAATAAATAAGAAACAAAATATATGATGCTGGACAAAAAATATTACTTTCTCAAGACAGATGACAACACTTACCTATGAAAAAGGAGGAGCAGCAGCAGAAATATCAGGGAAACTAATAAGGTAGCCAACAACGATATCATGATTACATTTATCCACCTGAAACCACCCCAAAACCCAAGACATATTGATTCAAAGATCCAACTGCAAGGAATTCAATAAGCTAAAAGATATCATAAAGACCACCATAATCTTAGCAAATGATTTCTTTTCCCACTTCTTCTTTTACTTTATTTCTTTTAGGGGGAGGCTGTTGAATTTGATGGCACAATAGCATAAGAAGCTACAAGTTCACCTCAAGCACCCAGGGTTCTTTGACATTGCATCTATCATTTGGTCTTATAAATTTTGGAACTTTCTCAAGCAAAAAGAATGCCCAGAAAGATACATACCATGACTTTGATATATAAGCCTTCAGGTATGCAATGTACATGATGCCAGTCCAAATGCACAATGCTGTTTCCTCACATATGAACCACCTAGCATATCAATTTGTAACAACATAATTGTTACGAAAGTATATTCGAAGTACATAAAAACCAAAAAAAAAAGGGGGTTGAAAATTCTAAGTTATATTACAATTACAAAAGAGTTCATAATTACAAATTTGCCTACATATCTAAATTTTTACCAAAAAAAAAAAAAATGAAGAAGTGAAATTAAACTTCATAATTCACCTGGACACATTTTAACACCACCCAATCAGAACTAGACCATTCCCTTCCATGTCAGGTTTGTGATTTGTATGTTCATTACACTACTCTATTCATCAAACACAGATTGAAGATGAAATAAAGGTGATTAATCTGACATCTAGAGAAACAACCAAACAAAGTAATAGAAGTTCATTCATCGACACAAGAAGGTCTAGTAAACAGGGAAGACAATTATATTAGATATCTAAAACCTTAAATTTATTTCACTGATGGTCCTTTAATGGCTAGCAGAGTAGCAGTTGTAATCTAACCAAAAATAAAAGCATCAACATGAGAATGAACAACATCTATTAATAACATAACAAAGGGTACAGACTCACCAAAATCGACAATGGTTTCTCTGTCCTACGCATGTCCCAAGCCAAACACAATGATGATCAAACTGAAGAACACATTTGTCACAATCATGACAATGCTTCGCACGTGGGGGCTGAAAATATATTACATGCAAAATAAACAACAATCGAACATTGTGCCAAAAGTTAAGAACATCATAAAAATCTAAATATGTGGTAGCATATAATAGCTTTACTAATGACTTTCGGTGATTTATATAACAAGATGGCAAACATGTAATGGCACTATTGTAAGGGCCTAAAAGGCAGACTTCTTGGTAACTACAACTTTCTCTAGAACATGTCTTTTTAGGATATGTCCAACTGAGAATCCAACACTTGAATGATATATTTCCCCACATGGGGGTTTCCAGAACATAGCTTCTGGGCAGTGTATGCTATCTTAGGTTTCCTAGTGCTTCTAGTAGAACCTAGTATTTTTCCTGAAAGTTATGGTGAAACCTTCCTAAATGGGGACACACCATGCACATAGAAAAAAGAAATAAAATAAATCAGGTCACTTAAGCAAGATTGCATATTTTTATGCAAGCAATTGTCCAAGCAACATTTATGGATGTTGGACGTCATGCTTCCCTCATAGCTGCAAAAATAATATACAATAAATAACAAATGATAGAGAAACAAAAAGGGTGTATCTTCCAACTGGAGCAAAATGAATGTCTATCCTCCATGAAGTTTGCTAAGTCTTGCTCCTACTTTCTGGGATTCAGGACGCAAATGACTGAATATGAAAATATCCAAAGCATTGATTTATCCAAATAAAACACATATTGCCAAGATAAGATTAGTTTGTCAGAGATTAGGGTACAAAACAGCCATACTTTTCATTCCAACATATTAAAAGTTCAAAAAATGGATAAATTATCTGCAGTCATTTATATTGGTAATACCATATCTTCCAAGCAAATTCAGTAGCTTAGAGAGCAAGATAATTTTCTCATAAGAAACTCAAAAGTCAAGAGTTAGCATGTAAGGGGTTGGTAATAACCATTTTAACTATGTACACCATCAACTGACATTCTGCCCAACTAAAAGGTTGAGTCACAATTGCAATATTCCTTTTGTCAAAAAGGATTTGCACCTCTTTTGAGTTAAAGGTAAATGAATCAAAATTTGAGGACTACTTGTCATTTTCTGTACCTTTATATCTTCAGATATATGTTATCTTACTTTTCATTTGAAACTAACATTAATCCCTCACTGGTTTATAATATATAAATAAACACAGGCAGTGGATGTCACAATCTTCTTTATATTGCAAGGAAGCCTATGAATCTAGTTAAACCCTCTTAGAAAAGCTAAATTACTTTTCTCTTTTTCCAAATACCTTTTGTTTTGAAGGAAAGCTGTTTTATTTTTCTTAATTTTCATTTTACTGAATATATGTAGAAGTAAAATCAAATTACAGCAACCTAGTAGGGTTCTCTGGGTGTGTGCACATCACTCATTCATGTGCACTTGTGTGAAGCGTGAACATAGTGAGAGCTCTGCCTCCCTCTAACTGGTACCCACACAATTTTGGCCTTATAAAATTAATGAATTTTCTAAATCAGATTGTGTCATACCAGAACTAGTAAACACACCCAAGACCCATTATTTAATGGACCCAAATAAAGGAGTAAAGCTAGATAAAGCCAACATGATCTAGTTTATTAGTTCTTGTAATATTTGTGCTAAGTTGTATTCATCTCCCCTACACATCATGTTTACCCCATTCACTAGCATGTGAAAAAATAATTCTCATTTCTTTAATTTCTTAGTCTATTAACAGAACGTTAGTTTTCCTTTTATCAGAGAGGAGGGGGGAACCTGCATGAAGGAGACTATGACAATTTTCATCGGTTACATGATTGGGCATTAGACAGATTGGTAATATTTTTAGTTAACAGAAAAGACGATACAAAATGAGAATTTTACCTGCATAACATTACAATAAGTGCAAGTCAATGTTCTGCAAAAATACAAGAGGAAGCAATCAGATGTAGATCTGTGGTTAGTCTATATTGCTCAAATGAATTTATATTCAAGAAAATAAAATTATTTTGATTTATCTCTAATTGGTACATTATTTAAGTTATAGACAAAAATTATGCCAGTTCAAAACAAGATTGCTTGAAATTGGTTCAATTCATATTATTCAACCAAAAAAGTTAAAAGATTGCATTGTTCATCTGCAACATGGTTAAACTACTTTGTCAAAAGTTCATACCAATATTATGTTGGTCCATCCCACAAATCAATATTGCAGATTGAAAGAGTGTAAATAACCATTCACATTCCAGAAAAGTTATATAATAATGGTCCAGTGATTATGCCACTGCGACACTATAATAGATATTTCCAATTTTCCACCATCTCAGTTTCACATAAATCAAGTACTCTATTGATGACTCAAAGGAAACAGCATGGTGTGAACAAAATTGACTGTATGCCCAATATATTTGCATACAATGTAGGAAATGATGTGCTCAAAATTGATTGTATGCATAATATATTTGCATATAAAGAATAATTGCTACAAAGATACCAAAATAAGTACTATCAGTCAACCCATGAGGTTTTTGTACCTTATTGAAAATCCAGGAGGATACATTTCCATCACCAGCTTTGTCCATGATGTTGCATTACTCCCTAACAGATTTTTCCCCAATTGATTCTCACTCAGAGTAACAACTAAGCTGCCATTTTTGCTTGAAGTAGGTTGTCTTTGCTTGATCATTTTAAAAATCAACATAAATAGAAAGATGTTCCAATTAGATGGTAGCCACAATCAGAGAACACTCTCCTACAACCACCATATGGTATATTTATAAAATAAAAAAAGAAGAAGAAAAAAAATAATATGCTTCGGTTATTTTCCTGCATCCTTCTTCCCATTAACAATGGAAATGAAGAGCAGTGCTTACTCTGAGTTCAATGATGTCCTTCTAAACAAGGCATCTGTCTCATTAGCAGCCCTCATTGCATCAAGAACATACCTAAAAGAGTAAGGAACAAAGAAATCAAGTTAGGCAGAATATGACAAGGATCCAACGCGCTGTTAGCACAAACTCTAAATTAAAGCTCCTTGCAACAAGAAAAGGCTATGTAATCGAGTGACATTTACCCAGGAGAAGAACCGGCGGTTAAGAAATATTGAGCCAATGTAGCAACAACCAACAACATGTACAGTGCTGTGTACCTGAGAAAGAAAGAAAGAAATAGAGTTAGGGAAAACAACCAGAAATTTTTTAATTAATCAGCAAACAAGGATTTTTGCACAAACTAAAAATTGAAACAATATTTCCCCAAATTTTCACATAGTCCTGGAAAGTGCATGAAATGTGTTTCAAGGCTTGCACATCAAATGTAGCACGAGTTGTTCAAGCAAAACAGCTTGACTCCAAGGGCACCTGCCTTGATAATCCAGTGCATTAAATATTCCTGTATAATATTCTCCAAGGCACATGTTGTAACTCCCTTGATAATATTCTCCAAGGCACATGCTGTAATTCGAAGCATAGAATCAACATTCCTTCTTTGACAAGATGAATGACGTTTTAGCAGACAACTTCTTTGCTTGAGCATGCAAGTGGATGCCATATCCAATGTGGATGAACAAAAAGTAAAGTATTATTGTCGAGTTCATGGGACATGATTGCACCCTCAATAGTTCTTGAGTTGCTCATGGAATTTGAAAACCATGTGAAAAGATTGGTATTTCCTTATGAAGTCCTTTTTCCAATTCAACGTATAGTCATTTTATTGGCTTTGAAGTTTAATCTTCTATAAGAGTATCTGAAATGCTCGTCTCATTCAATCATATAAACACAATGCATATTCATTAATTAGTGAATTGTCAATTTATTGTTCTAAATGATCTAATCGAAGTAACGGCAGAAGAAATATTGAAAAATGAATAAAGCTTGAAATTATATGACATGGTGGGTTGTAATTACTGTTGTCACTTGCGGTGACTTATTCATAATTATAGGAAGAAATTCTCAATCACTTTCCATTTTCAATGAATCAAACATTGACAGTTACATTTAACTTCCATGGTTGGTTCATGATGTATGAGTGAATGAATGTGTTGAGTTAGGCTCATTCTAAGTGCAACCCATGTTATCCCAGGTCCCAAACGACAGGAAACTGAAAATTCAAAACCCTAATTTTCTTTTAAATTATTTCCTTGCATTATATCATCAACCAGACAGGGTTACAGGAGTAGAGAAAGACAGATATAATTACCATGGTTCTCGTGTTGTTTTCTCTATCAAATCTCCGAAAAGAAAAAGAATGCCAACATAGATCAGATGCACCGTCACCAATGCAAGTTTCAAACACAAGGAATTTCTCCGAGCTAAAAAAAACCCCAAATTATCACAAAACATTGAACACATATATGTGTGTTTATTGGGAAATAGAAGTAGAATAATTGAGTACCTGGATCAGACAGACAGGGGAAGAAGTAGAAGAATCGATCCCATGGTGTGTTGTAGAAGGGACCGCTTGAGCCTATCATCATCTGTATCACTGACCCATTAACATCACTCGCATCTCAAGAGCGCCAACTGATTTAACCTAAAAAAAAAAAAAAGAGCGCCAAATGTTCACGAACCCCTGTTTGATTGATAAAGAAGAAAAACAAAATTTGTCTTTGTGTCTGAAAAAACAGATAGGTAAATGAATATATGTTATTATTTGAATGTATGTACGTGTGTATATTATAGAGAGAGAGAGATGCCTTCCTGCCTGGATAAAGAATTGGAACTACGAGGTAGACAGAGTCCCGCGCATTCTTCGACTGGATTTGGCTGGACTACTGGAGCTGGGCTACCGAAGCGTTAGCATCGGGTTTTGGTTCCGATATGGGACGGACATTGGTTTCGGGTGGAACAGGTGGGCCCGGATTGATTGTGGGCCGACCACTCTGTAAGTTTTAGTTCTTATGTTTTAAGGGTCTTCGTTTCGAATAAATATCGGGTGTGCTAGATAGTTTAGGTCATTGGTATGCTCGATCAATGAAAATTAATACGGTAATTAATTGAGAGTAGTTTTAAAAAATAGGTTAGACTAATTTTATGATAAATTATTTGATGTTCTTGGTATATCTTATATTTGGTGAACTAATTCAATGGTAGCCCTCTCATTAAGACATGTTCTAATATTTAATACACTCTTATAAGAACATTTTTTCAATCTTAGAAATTGTATTTAACTGGTCTATCAAGTGTTAATGGTCCGGGATTATTTAATAATTTTTTCAAATTTCATAAAATAATGTATTTCTATTGGTTGGGGCATACTAATGATGTGGCATGCCTGACGCACGGAATATCTTTTCGTTCATTTGATGCATACTAGAAAGCTTTACTTGGGATGCCATGTTAGTGTCAGACATGGCTATAAATGTCTTAAAATTTTGAATATTTATATATTTTTAATACGACCGAGACACGGTATGGACACATTTTAGATACTTTCAGGACACAACGAGTAATTTTGTAATAATTTTTACTAAAAAAATGAGATTCAATGCAATTTAAAAAATATTATGTGCTAAGTAGAAAATAATATAAAACTTAAAAACAAAAACGTCTACATGTCTTTTGAAATTTTCAATTCTCTCAAGTTAGGAAGTACGGATATTTTTTGTTAAAGTGTGATGGTATGATCAGATACTTTTCGGATATATAGATATCATTCGGATACGTGTCAAATATGGTTAGAAGTATCCTATATGGTGAGTATTTTATTTTTTGGTCGGATACGAATGAGATATTACACAAGAAGGTAAAATACATTTTAAAAACTTTCAGGATATGGTAAAGTGATTTTGTAATTATTTATTTTAGAAAATAGAATTCAATACAATCTAAAATGTATTATGGGTTAATTAAAAATAATAATATAAAATTACGAAAAAAAAAAAACAAACAAACTTCTAGCTCTAAATACCAAATTATTGATTGATTTATGATTATATAGATAGAAAGGCAAAAAAATTATTATATATATATAATAATCTATATCATGTTATTTATTTTTGACGGGTCCATGTTGTACTTGTGTCTTGTTTCATTGAGATTTATTGTATTATCATGTCTGTATCATGTTGTACCCGTATCCTAGATCTGTATTCGTGCTTCCTATAACTCTCAAATTTTAAATAAGACAAATTTTATTAAGATGATGTAAATGCAATTTTAAGTGGGCTAACTTCTCATCACAACATAAAATGCACATTATAAAATCATTTGTAATTGGTTTAAATTATTTTATTTTTTATAATTTGTTTAAAAAAATTAATTCCATGATTTTCTTAATTATACTGTCATTTAAGAAATTTCTTTTTTTTGGTGAATATTTAAGAGTTCACCTCACCAATCCAAACTAATGATAGAATTGTTCAACTCTTAAACCCGAATTGGAGGCCGAACCCACCTTCTTTCTCCACGTGGATGGGGTGATTCAAAAGAGCACCGTGCAAGGTGCGATAGTCTGTGGGTCCCACCAATGGGCCAGTGCTGCTAACTTGATCCGTAATCTACTGTAACATTTAAAAGAGTTCCACCTCACTAATAGTTCAAAAGAGCACCCTCCAAGTTGCAATAGTCTGTGGGTCCCACCAATTTGGCCGTCAGTGCTGCTAAGTTGATCCATATTCAAACTACTGTAACATTTAAAGAGTTCCACCTCACTAATAGTCCAAAAGAGCACCCTCCAAGTTGCAATAGTCTGTGGTCCCACCAATTGGGCCGTCAGTGCTGCTAACTTGATCCGTATTCAAACTAAGCTTCATTTTAAAATTAATTTCAAATAAGTATTCACACCTTATTTAAAAATTATACGATAACAATTCTTTCAAATTCATTCATTTGAAATTCTCCAACTATATCAAATTTTATTTTCTCACGTAACTGAAGCAAAATCTAAAAATTCGAAATCTTTCAGTAACCCAAAATCAAAGGATATATAATTGCTTCATTTATCAACCAAAAAGGATAACAAAGCTGGTCCAAGAGCTAGAAAGTGACAGACGATGGTACCAATTAGTAAATCACTTTGACAATAGGCCCTCACAGACAAGTTTGTCCATATTCAGATAAGAAGATCCACCATGTCCAGTAGCCTCCTCTGCTTTCTTCTTCCACTCCATTGCCTTAATTTTCATCTCCACTCCCTTCTCTCCCTCCATCAACTCTCTCACAAGCTTCTCAACTTCTTCCCTCTTCACATCACCATCTATCTCCATCCCAATCCCCCATTCCCTGCAACTGTACCGGCAATTCGTCTGCTGCTCGGCGAAGAACGGCCAACAGACCACCGGCACGCCACCACACAAACTCTCCAACGTCGAGTTCCACCCACTGTGGGTCAAGAACCCTCCCACGGACGGGTGTTTAAGCACTTGCTCTTGTGTACACCAGCTCGCCAACCTGCCTCTTTCTTTTGTCTCGTGCACAAACTCACTTGGCAGCATGGCAGAGTTCCCTGTCACAATGTCCGGCCTTATTATCCACAAGAAATGCTTGTGACTATTAGCCAGTCCCCATGCAAACTCCGTCATCTGTTTCGGTGTCATGACAGTGATGCTGCCAAAATTCACGTACACCACGGAGTTGGTTGGCTGTAAGTCGAGCCATTTGATGCAATCCGGTTCGTCTTTCCACAGATTTGAGCCGATGGGTTCTGATCCGTGGCCGGAAATCTGATCCGCCATTAGTTGGAGTGGTCCGATGGTGTAAATGTGGGGATGGATGGATGAGAGAGTGTTGAGGACGTCTTGTTCCAAGGCATGGAAAGTGTTGAGGACGATAGCAGAAGCTTGGTGAATGCGGTCTGTTTCATTTATCATGAAGTTGAACATGAAGTCGTTTGAGTCTGTTGTTCTGATGAAGGATGGGAGGTCTCTCAATCGGATGTTGTTCATTCCTGGAATCCAATTTAGGGTTGTGTCTAGATATCCATTTGTTAGATAGGTTTCATCTGTACACCAACGCATAAGTTAGCTGAGAAATGTAAAGAGTGGAGTGATGATATAGAGATATGGTGTTATTACACATATGGTGTTATGAATCCATATTTATGATGGAGTCAAAGCCCTAGTAATTTTTTTTATAAAAAAAAATAATTAAAAAAATAAATAAATTTGACCAAAATGTCCATCTGAATATGAAAAAACACTGTTCATTTGTCTAAACTATCATAATAGAGGTACCATTTTAGGCATAGAGGTACTACTTTTTGTTATCCGGTACCACTTTTTATATTATACAGAAAATGATATATGTGTGCACAAAAAGTGATACCCATGTATAAAAAAAAATGATACTTATGTGCATAGAAGTGATACTTAAGTGTCCAAAACAAAAGTAGTAAATAAAAATAGTAAGGGTAATTTTGACAATAAATATTATTTTTCCATGTCCATAACAGCTATTTGGTCAATTTTATTTTGTTGAAACATCGTGACTTTGATTATATCAAATGATAAACATGAGTACATAACACCATGTATGTGTAATAATTCCAAATTTAATTTACACCATAAAAGAGACAAATGGTGTGTGATAAACCTCATGCAGTAAATCAAAGAGACAAATGGTGCATGAATTTTTTTGTTAATAAATAAAATTAAATTAAATTCACAACTTAAATAATAATTAAATTTAATTAGTATGAAATTAACTTATAAATTTTTTAAAATTATAAATAATTATTTTTTATTATCAAAAAAATGTTTAGGGTGAATCCCGAGGAGGCCTTCTCTTGGAGAGTTCCTGGTGCTAACTAAAAAAACTACAGAGTATTGAATATTCAATTATGTATCAGGATGAGTCATTAGAGGATTGGTAACCTGGGTCCTCGGCCACTCGAAAATTTATTCTCAATCAGACTTTTCAAACACTTAATAGTTCGTTTGGGACCCCTTAGACTACTAGTGACCCACGTAGCGGCTGACTATTTTCTCTATTTTTTTTTTTAATGGTAAAAAAAATAATAATAAATAAATAAATTCACAAATTCTCAATCAGACTTTTCAAACACTTAATAGTTCGTTTGGGACCCCTTAGACTACTAGTGACCCACGTAGCGGCTGACTATTTTCTCTATTTTTTTTTTTAATGGTAAAAAAATAATAATAAATAAATAAATTCACAACTCAAATAATAATTATTAACCAATAAGTCAAGGAATTATTACAAATAAAAAGTGTTAATGACTCATATTTATTATTTAATGGAGTCAAAGTCTTATATTTTCCAAAAAAATAAAGTTGACCAAATAATATGAAAAAACACTATTTACTCTCATTGAGGCACCACTTTTTTGTGTACGGAGGTACCACTTTTATACATCATATATCACTTTTATTTTGAGTATAGAGGTACCACTTTTATTCACATTGATACCACTTTTTGTGCATGATGATAAAAATTGATACTTGCATACATCATAAAAAGTGGTAACTAATAACAAAAGGTGGTATCTGCATGCACAAAAAATAGTATTTATGTGCTCAAAAGTGGTACTCACTGAGGGTAAAAAGTGTTTTTTCATGTCTCAATTTTTTCGAATTTATGAGACTTTAACCCCATCAAATGATAAATATGGGTCATTGGCACCATTTAAATGTAATAATGAAAAAAATAAATAAAATAAATAAAAATAAAAATTGGTTACCTTTGGGTGGTGTTAAACCCCTTTCCAATAGATGGCGGTACAGGGTATAACCATAGAAGCCACAAGCACTCGTGGTCCAAAACAACACTTCAGGGATTCCAAACTGTTTTGCAGCTTCAAGAGTGAAGCTCATGACACCATCGGAGACGATGCATGTCACCGGTGGGACGTCGGAGGACGAGCAATCGTTGAGTTCCGAGAGGAGGTTGCAG